TTCCCTCAAAACTTGGCACGTTTTGGTTTCCATTTGATCACAGGGAACAAAGCAGCCTGCAAGCTCATGACAGTTTCATCTGCTGGTAGTAGTTCTATCAGCCTCTCTCCTGAGTGGAAATGCCCTGTGGGTAGACCATACAATCTGATAAACTTTGCCTTGGGCTGATGGTTAGGGAGGGGCAACTAGCTTCTCTGTTTAATATTTTTTTTTTATTAAACAGAAAAGTCTCCAGAAAGAAAAGGCATTTTTAAAGAAAAAGCCTTAAAAAAAGAAAGAAAAAGAATGCCTATTGGAAAACTTCAAGCTGTTCATTCCGTGTGTTGTTCTGTACCCTAGAGCCAGAACCGGCCCATAGCTGACCTTCCAGTGTGTTTTCAGAAGCAGTTAATCACGGGGGGAAGAGCCTGTCCCTTCCTTCCCCCAAGGGGCAGCTGGTGGCCATGAACCACATGCCTTTGGGATTGCCACGCAGCTTCTTTGCCACTAGGCCGCCAGAGCTCCCTATCCATTCTGTACTGGGGGGTGGAGGGGGGTGGGAAGAGAACATAGACTGGGCACTTGTTCTATGTAAATCCCTAAATGAACTCCTTGTTTTCAGTCCACTGCTCATGTTCTCCTCTGCCTTATGGCCCCACTTTGCATCCAGAAGCCCTGACTCTCATAATAGGCCATATCTGGGCTATAGTTCTCTGTTTTCTGTAGCATATACTCACACACTCTCAGTATATTCCACCTTTTTAAAAGTTGTTAAAATTATTTCTCTTTGATGGACTCTTTTCTCTGCCCATTCACTGCTTAACAGCTGTTGTTTCTTTTTTCCTACATTCTCAGTTCATTAGGGTTTCAAAAGAGACAAGAAATGCTCTTAAAACATGAAACAAAACTACTGAGTATTTAACAATCTAGAAGAAAATAGGCATAGTTTTACACACTACAAAACTAAAGTAACACAAATAGAGATGCTGTTATTATTAGGTGCCATCAAGCTGAGTATAACTCATAGTGGCCCTATTTACAATAGATATGAACCCTGTCCCATCCTGTGCCATTCTCACAGTATCTGACACACATGAGCCCACTGATGTACTCACTGTGTCAATTCACCTCATTGAGGGTCTTCCTCTCTTTCACTAAATGTCCATTTTTACAAGCATAATGTCCCTCTCCAAGGAGTAGCCTATCCTTGCAATATGCCCAAGGTATGTGAGACAGACTTTATCTTGTCTCCAAGGAGCAGAGACTCTGTCTGCACTTTCTCCAAAACACATCTGTTTGTTCTTTTGGCAGCCCATGAGATATTCAGTACTTTTCTCCAACTCGACAGCTCAAAGGCATCAATTCTTCTTCTGCCATCCTTATTCATTGTCCAGCTATCAGATGCATAGCAAGTAACTGAGAAAGACCATGGCCTGAATTAGGCATACATCAGTCCTCAGACAGACTTTACTGCTCTTCCGTGTTTTGGAGAAGTCCCTGATAGAAAACTTGTCCAAAGGAGTAAGTCTCCTGGTTTCATGACTTCTGCTATCAAGGGTGTTGATTAATGTACAGAGCTCAAATTAATAATAATAAAGTAACTCAGAGACTTACTGAGCAGATACAGGCTAGAGTTAACAACAAAAGCTATCATAGTGCAGAAGATGAATTATTCACAACGGCTTTTCTAGCTACTGGATTTGCTTTCAATACATGCCTGGGTGTTTCTGTTGTTATTATTATGGGATGTTAAGTTGAAATTGACACATAGCTAACCCCATCAAGTGGGTTCTCAGATATGGAAGGAAGGCGGCTAGTCATCTTTCTCTCTGAGAGCAGGTAGTGAATTCAAGCTATGTTCCTTTGGGTGGGCAGCATAACTCCTTATCACTAGGTCACCAGAGCTCCACAGGGCTGGGTAAACCCAAGCTAATAACATGAATGAGATAAACAGCACCTTTTGGGTTGTTGTTGTTGTTGTCATGTGCCATTGAGTCAACTACAAATCATGATGACCCTATGCACAAGAGCTCTGAACCTTGCTCCACCTTGAACCAATCTCACTGTCTCTGACATACCTACCCTTCATTACCCCAGTTACTGTGTCAATCCATCTCATCTAGGGTCTTCCTCTTCTGTACTCTCCCTCCACCTTTCCAAGCATGATATTCTCCAAAGACCAGTCCCTCCTGGCTACATTCACAAAGTATGTGAGATGGAGTCTCAAAATCCTTGCCTTGAAGGAGCACTTTGTTTTCACCCTCTTAGGGACAGACCTGTTAGTTCTCTTGGCTGTTTATTATACATTCAGTACTCTTCTCCAGCAACTCAAAGCTCTATAACTCAAAGGCATCAATTCTTCTATCATCCTTAGTTATTGTCCAGCTCTCTGGTGCATAGCAATTAATTGTGAAGACTATGGCCTGGATCAAGCACACTTTATAGTCTCTGGACTCATATCCTTGCTCTTCAACACTCTAGAGAGGTAACTAAAAGCTTATTTTCCTAATGTAATTAGTGTTTTTTCCCTATCTGACTGCTGGTGTCAAGAGCATTTTGACTGTGGAACCAAGCAACCTGAAACTGTTAACAATCTCTCTCTTTCCCATCTATCATGATGCTGCCAATTGGTCCAGTTATATGACTCTTTGTTTTCTTGATGGTAAGATTCAATCCATATTGCAAACTACAGTCATTGACCTTCTGCAGTAAATGCTTCAGGCCCTCCTCTGTTTTAGCAAGTTAGTTTGTATCATCTGCATAGCACAGATTGTTGATGGATCTTCCTCCAATCTTGATGCCACATTCTTCCTCATAAAGCCTAGCCTAACGAATGATCTGTTCTTCAAACAGCCCGAAAAGGTATGGAGACAGGACACAATCCTGATGCATTCCTTTTCTAATTTTGAACCATGCAGTGTTTTCTTGCTGTGTTCTGACGACTGCCTCCTGATCCAAGTACAGGTTTCACATGAGCACAATCAAGTGTTTTGGGATTACTAATCTTCTTAAGGTTAGCCACAGCCTCTTCTAAATCCCACTTGAACTTCTGGCAGTTCCCTATCTATATACTGTTTTAGCCATATTTTAAGGATCTTCAACAGTATTTTGCTTGCATGTGATATTAATGATATTGTCCTAGGTTCACAGGCCAGCAGGGATATCCTAGGTGGCTAATGTGGAGACGTCTGCTGAGAACTGACAGAAACACTCACCTACTGGGGTTCAGCATGGTAGGTGAGGAGGATTCGACCCTGAGGACAGTAAACAGAAGGACTGATAAACTGTGTTACTTCTAAAGGAGATTTAAATACCAAGAAATAGCACTGGTTTTCCTTTCCTTTAGAATTTGGAAATCAGGCATACTCAACTTTTCAACTTCAGTCCCGCTCTCATTGCCTCAAAATAGAATCAAGCAGGAGTGGAGGGGTGGGCTGGGGAAGAGCCGTGCTCTGGAACTCTTTGGGGAGCTAAGTGATTACAAATTGAACATTAAATGCCCAACAGAAAGCAAGCTCTCTGAGTCGTTCAACCACATCTTTTTAGCCCTACTTCTGAGAATAAAAAAATTCTAAGCTCAATTTAAGTGTCACTGTAAATCCCTCTGTGCCAGATGATTTTATCCACATATTTATATCCAATGTACAAACAACTTAAAATGTTTACACTGAGTAGTAATGGAAGTCATGTGTCAAAGTCAGAGGACAGGAGAAGAGTAAAGCTGACTTTAAAGCTAAAACATGAAGATCCCATGGAAAGTGTGGCTTACAAGTAAAAATGTATTGTTTACTTATTTCATTTAATTATATAGAATGTGCTTTTTTATTCTTTTCATACAATTTTTCAGTCTTTCCTTCCCTTTTCTTTTGTACAGTCTCACCAAAAGTTACAGACACTTACACATGGAGTTTCAAGGAACAAGACTGCGTGCATTCTGTGATTTTTGACCCTTATTTCCTCTCAGCTCCCACTCCTGCCTCCAGGGAGGAAAACTAAATTCACTGACTAAAGAAGATACTAAGATATCAAAGAAAGGATACAGTCATTGCTGCTGGTGGCTGATGTAAGGTGCTCTGGGCACATATATTATCAGGGTAAATTAATTCTTCAGTATAGTCCAGTTCCCCTTTTCTGAAAGCCAGGATCTTCCCTGGCCCCAGGCCATGCTCCCCTCAGTCACTCACATCCTTGAGCTCTTAGGTGGGTTTCAGGAGCACAGATGTACTGGCAGGACACAGGCATGCCCATCTCAGTCCTTGGCTTGCACAGTGCTCTTTGACTTTCAAAAGACTGCACTTGTCACCTGAAAACTCCATAACCTTCATATTCCAAACTCTGAGAAGCTGGCACTGCGACATCCCTTCCTTTTTGCGATTCCTGTCTCTTGGCAGAAAGAAGGTTTTTGTCTTTCTTAGAGACACTTGGGCTCATTTCTCTCAGTTGTAGAAAAGAGCAGCCTGACACATGTTTTTAAATGCATGCTCTTATTTTTATGATAGACATTCCAATGTAAAAACATTTGGCATTTCATCATGGTTAATTTTTGCACATTCATTCTCAATTTGCTTCCATAGATGTACTAGCCAAGATCATTCAAAATTCCATTACTCCAGGGTACCATCCCCAAATCATCACACACCTAAGAACTCAGATGCGTATGAGGAAGCAATACACACTTAGGAAGAAGAGAAGTACCTTGTAGCATCAAAAGATAAAAAAAAATTATGAAATGCAACAGATGCTCTACACCAGAGATTATACCATAATACCTGATTTCCCCTTCCTGAACCATATAAAAAATTGTAAATTAAATTCATTAAAGCTAAAAGAACTCCACTGTAGGTAAGTTATTTAAATCTAATAGAACCAACAATGAATTCAGAATTTTAAAATTCACTCATTTTAAACTACAATTTTCAGCTTGGTCTTTTTTTTTATTGCATCCAAAACTTAGAAAAAAATACTGAGATTCATGATTATCAGAGCTGCATCATATTAGTTAAGTATTAAATACATCTTACCTGTAAATATGTTTCCAAACCTTGTCGTCGTTGTTCCAAGACTTTTGGGACCCAGTTTCTAACATGTTTAGAAGGGATTTCTGGTGTTTTTATGCATTTCTTAAGCTGTAAATACAAAACCAGAAACACAGAAAATTTCTTTTTATCATAAAGACATTGTTTGTTAGTGTTTTCTCACAGTAAAAGAAAGTACTAGCTCCAAAAAAAAAGAGATAGAGGACATGTAATAATACCGACATTTTACTAAAAAATTCTTTATGTATTGTCTTTCATGCTCAGGTTTCAGAGTAAGGGTTTTGGTTTCAGTAGTTGCTGTTATTGTTGTAAATCATCATGTACTTGAGATTCATACACTCACTCATGTCTGTGGATTCAGAAGTGATTCATAGTTGACTTTCTAGTGCATTTTCAAAGCCTATAAACCACATATGAGAATGTCCAAGGAGCAACTTATGGATTCAAAACCACTGTGTTTGGGTTGGCAGCACAACTCCCTAATCACTAAGCCATAAATATTTAATGAAGTTTTTATTTTTCTTAGATGTTGTCAAATCGAGTATGACCCATAGTGACCCTATGAACAACAGATGTGAACCCTGTCTCAGCCTGTGCCATCCTCACACTTCATGACACATGAGAGCCCACTGAGGTAGTCACCATGGCAATCTACCTTGTCAAAGGTTTTCTTCTTCACTGACCCTCTACCTTTCTGAGCATTGTGTCCCTCTCTAAGGAACAGCCCCTCCTAGCAACACGTCTGCAGTGAGCCCTAGTTTTGGGCTAGAAGCTTCTTGTTTAAACCAATTAGAACCCAATGGGCAGGGCTTTGTGATCAGAAGTTGGTTGGATACCGCCTGAGAGTCTTTTGTTTGAAGCAGCTGGTATCTGAAAGGTAGGTAGGTCTTTTGATATAATTAACAATAATGTGCAAAATGTTTGGTCATCATTTTTATTTAATTAACAATCAGTTGTATACTATGCTGTGAAAATTACTGAATGATATCACTAATATCACATATAAGCAAGATCCTACTGGAGATTATTAAGAAAAGACTAGATCAGTACATCAACAGAGAACTGCCTGAAGTGCAGGCTGGGTTTAGAAGAGGCCGTGACACTAGGGACATCGTTAGATGGATCTTGGCTGAAAGCAGAGAGTACCAGAGGAATGTCTATCTGTGTTTTATTGACTATGCAAAGGCATTTGACTGTGTGGATCACAAGAAATTGTAGCTAACTTTGAAAAACAGAATCACAGAACACTTAATTGTGCTCATGAGAAACCTATGCTTGGACCAGGAGGCAGTAGTCAGAACAGAGCAGGCATAGTTCAGGATCAGCAAAGGTGTATGTCAGGGATGCATCCTATCTCCATACATTTTCAATCTATATGCTGAACAGATTATTCAGAAGGCTGGACTTTATAAGGAAAAATGCAGCATCAGGACTTTAGGAAGACTCATCAACAATCTGCGTTATGCAGGTGATAGAACCTTGTTTGCTGAAAGGGAAGAGGACATGAGATATTTGCTGAAGAAGGTCAATGACTGTAGTCTTCAATATGGATTGAAGCTCAACCTGAAGAAAACAAAGACACTCACCTCTGGGACAATTAACAGCTTCACGATGGACAGAAAAGAGATTTAGATTGTTGATAACTTCAGCTTGCTTGTTTCCACAATCAACACTCTTGGCACCAGCAGTTAGGAAATCAAAAGATGAATTGTACTGGGGAAAAGTCTGCTGTCAAGGACCTCTCTAGAATACTGAAGAGCAATGATGTCAGTCTGGAGACTAAAGTGCACCTAATCCAGGCCATGATATTTGCAATTACTTGCTATGTATCTAAGAGCTGGGCAGACAATAACTAGGGATGATAAAAGACTGGATGATGAGTTTGAGGTGTAGTGCTGGAGAAAAGTGTTGAACATACCATGGACCGCAAGGAGAACAAACAAATATGTCTTGGAGAGGATGAAAACAGGCTGCTCCCTGGAGGCAAGGATTTTGATGATTTGTCTCACATACTTTGGGCATATGGTCAAGAGAGACCAGTCCTTAGAGAGGGACATTGTGCTTTGGAAGACTGAAGAGACAGCACAAGTGAGAAAGACTCAGGATGAGATGCAGTGACTGAAGAAATGGGTTTAGGTCTGTCAAAGATGATGAGATTGGCTCAGGATAGAGTAGGCTTCAAAGGTAATGCACATAGCGTTGCTATGAGTTGCAGGTGACCCAATAGCACACAACAACAACAAAACAACATAGTATGCTGAGAATGAAAAGCAGAAGAATGGTATTGCATTCCTAGTTAAAAAAAATCAATTTCAAGTTCTATTCTGAAATACAGGTTGTGAGTGATAGGATATTATCTATATGCATATAAGGAAGACTGACTATTATTCAAATATACGCTCTACATCTACAGCCAAAGAGGAAGAAATGGAATTCTTTTTTACCAAATCGTGCAGTCCAAAATTGACTGAACACACAGTCAAGATGCATTAATGACAACTGGTGACTGGAATGCAAAATCTGGAAACAGTGAAGAAGGAATTGTTGCTATTATTTGCTATCAAGATACCTGTGATTCATAGTGACCCTATGTACAACAACCCTAAACCCTGCCCTATCCTGTACAAATCTGATTGTCTCTGACTCAGCTATCCCCATTACTCCCATCACTGAATCAACCCATCTCATTGAGGGTCTTCCTCTCATGCGCTGTCCCTCCACTTTCCAAAGTATGATGTTCCTCTCCAAGGACTGATCCATTCTTGTAACATGTTCAAAGTATGTCAGACAAAGCTTCAGAATCTTTGTCTTCAAGGAGCAGTCTGATCTCACCCTCTCCAGGATAAAACCTCTTTGTTTGCCTAGCAGTCCCTAGGATTTGGAAAATAATGATCAGAATTTTTTTCTTTTCAGTAATATATTCATTACAAATACCTTTTAAAAAAAAAGACGCAAATGGTGACTTTACCCACTCAGCTCAAGTGATGGTCCACATAGAAATCACACTGACTATATCTGTAGAAGGAATCATTGAAGAAGCTCAACATTGGCAGTCTAATCTAGGCCAGGGGAAGACTGTGGGTCAGATCATCAATTATTTATGTCCAAGTACAAATTGAGCCAAAGACAATGAAAACAATTCCATAAGAACCAAATATGATCTTGACTCTATTCCATCTGAATTTAAAATCATCCTAAAAACAGATTTGAAGCATTGATCACCAATTATTGAAGACCACATGAGTTGTGGGCTTATATCAAGGATATCATCCATGAAGAAAAGCAAAAGGTCATTACAAAGACAGAGGACAAAGAAAAAACTGAAATGGATGTCAGAAGAAACTCTGAAAATTGCATTAGCGCACCAAAAAGCCAAAAATTGTAATAGAATGTGCAGAGAGCTGGAATGGGAGAATAAAAAGGAAAGAACTTTCTTCTGCATTTCTCAAGCTGAGAGAACAGAAAACCAAATTCAAACCTGAAGTTGCAATATTAAAAAATGCTATTGGTGGAGCTTCCTGATTAAAACAAGCTTGGAAGCAGGAGTGGCATCCACTTCCGTAATGGCTTGCCTCTAGAAACTCTATGAATATAAAGAAATGACAAAAGTATTACAAGTGTTCAGGTCTTTCATTCACAGGGTGGCTATGAGTCATCTAAGACTCGACGACACTTAACAACAACAACAACATGGGCAATAAAGAACTCTGGTGGCCTAGTGGCAAGAAGTTGTGCTGCAATCCAAAGGCACAAGGTTCGAGGTCACCAGCTGCTCTGCAAGAGAAGGATGGGCAATCTTCTCCTGTGATTAACTGCCTCTGAAAACCTGGATCAGCTATGGATCTGTTCTAACTCTATGGGACAAAAAACAGCATGAGCAATATATTGCCCAGAAAGTATCAAAAGAAGGTGGAGGGAATGCATAGAATCACTGTATCAAAGAGAACGAACTGACATTGAAAAATCTCAGTAACGTGAGCAAGAGCCAACAGTAAAGAAGGAAGAAGTGGAAGTTGCATTGAAGGCCTTGACAAAAGTTTAATTCAGTTACATTTTCTGAGAAACTTCATGAAATTCCAATGGATTTATTATAAAGAAAAAGGTTATAATTTCTTAAATAAATCAATGGAATGAAATTCTGTTGGAAGAAATATTTTTCCGATTAAAAAAGGTTTCTATATAGACTTTTACATTAAAAAGGCAAAACAAAATGAAAAGTCATAACCATTTTCCCTGGAAATGCCCTATAAATCAGATTACACCATCTAAAGAATTTCTTTAAAGCTGTATGACAGAATAAACTGAAAAACAGAGCAGCTAGCCTTTTCACTATTTTGAAAACTCATGTTAAAATCTGTTCACGAAAACTGAAGAAAACATCTCAGATAAGCATTTCTGGACAGGAGTTTCAGGGGATAATAAAAATAAAGAAAAATTCTACCAGAAGTTTTAGTTAGAATCCCCTGTGCCTGGCATATTAACGGCCCCTCAAAAAGTCTACATCATACACCTATGAATATGCAACCTTCTACGTCAAAACGGACTTTGCAAATATGATTAAGAATCATTAAATGGAAAGATAATACTTGATTAAACTATAATCAGTATATTTGTAATTCTGAGAGACATGGGCCTAGACAAGATGACTTGGAGTGAGACACAGAAGGAGAAGAGGCTGTGGTAGGCAGAATCCTAAGACGTCCCTCAAGATTCCTGCTCCCTCCCCAGGGTTATACAGGTTCTTTAATTCTTCCCATGGACTGTGGATGGGACCTGTGAATGTGTTCCCAGGATAGCTGTCACTGTTAGGGGTCATCAGTCGATTCCAACTCAAAGTAAACCTGTGTATAACAAAGGAAAACAAAACACTCCCTGGTCCTGCACCATCCTCCTACTGCTGTACTACTGATCTCATACTGGAGGTCACTGTGACGATCTTACTTTAAGTATATATATATATATATATACACACACACATACACACACACACACATATATTTATGTTTGCATAAAAAATTTGTATTATTGTGTTTCATTCATGAGAAACGCATTCAGACACCATGTGTCACACATTTTTTCATTCCTTTCCT